AGCAGCTCCTCTCTTTTGCTCCTTCATTCTTTGTAGACATGAGAAGATGAAAGATCACAGAAGTTAGCTTACTCCTCCACAGTTACACAGTAAATTTTGGCTAGTGTTGGATCTGATTTCAACTGCAGCTTTATGATATAAAATCATTTTTTAAAAACATACATTAGTTAAGGTTCTTTTCATACCAATTTACAGAACCTTATTTGAGATACTTGAAAAACAACAAAAACAAGGAGAGTAGGCGGGGCTGTGCTTGACAGGTGAGTTTCACTCATGCAAACTAAGGGCAAGTCCATTCATTCCCTGTGGGCTCCAATCAGGAAATGAAAAGCCATGAGAGACTATCTCTGCCTTTCCTCTCTTTTTGTGGTCTGTTTGATTACTGATTTTTCTTCCCCACGGAAAAAAACAAGTACTTTTTGGGTTTCTTAGAACACAATTAGAGTTAAATTCATGAGCAGAGGTTGTCTCTGAATCCCTAAAGAGAATCCACAAGTGAAACTCCATTGATTCAGCTTGGGTGAAGTGTTCATCCCAGACTCTCTTTTTATTTTTTAGCACATACTGTGTGAGGCACTGTGATCACTCAAGCACCTATATCTAAAACGACCACACTCACAAAGTAAAACCATGGCTATATAGCTAATATTTACAAAACACTCATGCTTAGAGTTAGCTGTGCATTAATAATGCCGAGTTACATAAAGAAGACTTTCAGTAATATAGATTACAACAGATCCATAAACTATGTCTGCTGTGAAACAAAGCAGTTGCTTTAGTTTGAATTCATTAAATTTTATAGCAAAATACAATACTTTTCTATTGTATATCTATAATATATAAAATAAAACAGAATATTACATTACAGGAGTTTATATTCCATAATGTTCACAACTGATGTGCTATGAAAATGAAATGTACTAAAGTATATTAGTATAAATCTTTTGTTTTTAATTTTGGGGTTTATGTTTCATTCTTGTCACTGCTGGCTGAGATCTACTGTGGTAAATATTCTACTTGTTGCATTTAATTTAAGTAATGAATAAGGATGAAAATCTTAATGAGTTTCAGGGCACCCTAAGTTAACTGGAGGTTATTTCCTTTGTCAGTAGGAGACATGACAGTATTAGTTCTTCTCAGTTATTTATTTCAAGAACTAGATACTAGCTTCGTATTTGGTGGATCTGCCAGCTATTGTTTGTAAAGCTTCCTCTCCAAATATAGCAGGCTTATTAATCAAATGTGAATAGACACAATTTACTAATGGTAAAAATGAAAAAAAAAATTAGACCACATCCAAATAACTTGCCAGTAAAATACCAAGGCTTAGCCCATCTTACTTGTATTATTATCTTGCAATAATAATTCAGCTAAACATTCAAATCAGTAGCCACAAATCTTAAATAAATTTAACTGCAATCTAAAATCTGTTAAATATGTGTTATATAAGAAAGTAGAAAATTTGAATCACTACCACCTATGACAACCTTTAACCTTTCCATTTTGCAAATCATAAAATGACTCTAAGAGAGGTCAAATAACATGGTTAAAGTCAAAGTAGTAAGTGGTAAGGACCCAAAATTTCAGAGGAGTTTTCAACTTCTAGTTGGTGATCTAGTCTACATAGCAGCTACTTAATCTGAACTCCAGTTTCAAATAATAACTTTTAATATTATGTAAATATTTTTAAAACATAAGCTTGATAATTTAACATGCAGTTATATATGCAATATAATTCAGTACATTTCCCATTAATATGGCCCTTAGGATATCTAGTTTTTCCTCATATTTTCTTCTTAGCTCTTCAAAGACAAGAACCAGTCTTTCTGCTAACTGCTTTGTCAAAAATCTTCTAGTTCATGGGTTTTACCCTAGGTTTGTTCCATTAAAATTTTGGTTTTTCCTATATTGCTTGATATTTGTCGCTACAAGTAAGAAATTCCTTTCTAAATCCTGTTGTGAGTTTACTTGTACCTGACAAGAAAGATACCTCAGAATGTGGTCTTATTTGGAAATAAGATCTTTACAGATATAATCCAGTTGAAATAAAGTCATTAGGATGGATCCTAATCCTATACGACTCGTGTCCTTAAAGGGGATATTTGGATACAGAAACAGACATACACAGAAGTCAGAAGAACACCATGAGCACGACAGAGGATTGGCATATTACATCAGCTGGCCAAAGACTGCCAGCAAACCAGCAGATACCAGGAAGGGACAAGGAAGGGTTACTCTATAGGTTTAAGAGTAAGCATGGCCCTCATGACATTTTGATTTCAGACTTCGATCCCCCGAAACTGTGAAAAAGTTTGGTTACTTTAGCAACCCAGTTTGTGGTGCTCTGTTATGGCAGCCTTAGAAAACTAATACATATCCCAAACCAAACAAGCTAGAAAGTGCACGTGCACGCACACACACACACACACACACAGCGCACACACACACGCACTTCTGTTTACTTTTCTAAATTTCTTTATTTTAGTTGCCAGATTCTTTCTTTCAAATTAGAGGATCAGAAACTAAACATATTGTTTTCACCCTATTTTACTCTATTTTTCAGATGGTACATTGGAAAACAGCTTAGTACATGACTCTTTCATCTTCGAGAAAGAAGTATGAAGTAAAAGGCAACTTTGATCACAATTTATCTTTGTTTGGTGGAAGTATTTTAAGGTTAATCAACAAATATTTGAATGAATAATTAAATATGAATTCATATGTATTTGGCCCCAAACAAATCTATCTGGTTTGATGATACTGTCATCTAACCATGGCTGTAAAACAAATTATCCTTTTCCCTCATTGCCTTATTACATCAGTCATTAAGTATTGATCCAAATACCTCCCCTTAGGTCTCACCTCCCAATAATGTTGCATTGGGGATTAAGTTTCTAACACATGAATTTTGGGGGACACATTCAGACCACAGCAGTTTTCAAATGCCTTGGGCCAATCCATCTCTCTCTTTTTGTTTTTCTGTTCTTTCATGTGACATAATTTGAAATTAAAATTTCACATACTTCATCACCAAGTATAAAAACATAATACATCAGAATCATTATAATCACATTTAAACTTTCAAATCAGCTAGCGGTATATACATGATAGGTATGCAAAAATGAGAAAACAATAAAGTTTAATTTTTCAAATTATAAAATTTCAGACAATTCTAGCACAGAGCTGAGATTTCACTTCCAGTTTTTAAAGCCACATGATTGAGGTATGACTGACATATAAAAAGCTATTATATGTATGTAACTTGATAATGTTTGACATAAATATATACTCTTTAAACCATTGCCATGACTTATGCCATAAGCCTATCCATCATCTCCAAAAGGTTTCCTTACTCTCTTTATTATTACTATTATTACTAATGTGCATGTGTATAATAAGAACACTTAACCTAAGATCCACTCTCTCAGCAATTTTTTAAGTATACAATATAATACTGTGAACTACAGACACTATATTATATAGTAGACATCTAGGACTTACTCATCTTGCATAACTGCAACTTTGTGCCTTTTGATTAATACTTCCTTTTTCCATCCTCCCCAAAGCCCCTGGAAACCACCATTATACTCTATGCTTCTATGCGGTTGACTATTTTCAATTCCTCATTAAAAGTAGTATCATGTGGTATTTGTCCCTCTGTGTCCTGGCTTATTTAACTTAGCACAATATCCTCCACGTTCATTTTCTCAAATGGCAGGATGTCCTTCCTTATAAGGCTGAACAATACTCCACTCTTTGTACATATCACTATTTATCTTTTCACCTATCGATGGACATTTCTCTGTCTTGGCTACTGTGATCAATGCTGCAATGAATGTGGGAGTACAAACATCTCTTTGAGATACTGATTTCAATTATTTTGGCTAAATACCTGGATATGTAAATTTTGGACCATATGGTAGCTTTAGTTTTAGATTTTTTAGGAACCTCCATATTTGCTTTTACGATAGTGGCCACACCAGTTTACACTTTCACTAATGGTATACAATGGCTCTTGTGTTTTAACCTTTCTAAACCTGCTAACTCCTATGTTGTGACAAGGGCTACAAAACAGTGTTGGAATGAGAATTTAGATGTCTCTGTATGTATGTTTGTATACATTTTCATGTACTTATCCTAAAGCCCCCTAAAAGATGGGTACTAGTAGGAGGACCATAGCATTTGTCATTTAAAAAGAAAGACTTTTAAGAAGGAAAAGAAGTGAGGGTGCCATTAACACTGGGAATAGGTATATGCAGGGACGGGGACGTAATCTCAGACTTTTGCCAGCAAACGATCATACAGTCATCCTACATTTGCATAACTGCTATAGCAGTAAGTTAATGAAAAGGGGAGGTGAAAAGGCATTGAAAAACATATTTTTGATAAATGGCAAGGGATTATGTAGAATGGTAATAAATAGGACATCATATTGGTCACTCTGGACCGTTTTCAAGTATGTTCAGAGAAACCTGTATAATTCTCTTTGACAAGTATTTCTCACAACTGAGTACACTTGAATACACTACCACCTTCTACCGTACTGTAAGCACTTTTTTTTTTCTCATAGCAAAGGGAGTTCCTGTTGATATTTACCAGTAAGTAAATTTAAAAACTAGCATATTAGTCTACGTTTGGGCTTTGATTTCTCAAGACAGGAAAAATACAAACAAATTTTGTCTCTTTTTTTTTTCTGATTTAAATAAGCACAAGTGTTAACTATTAGCCACTGTTAATACTAATATGTGCTGCTACCTATTTTGCATTTTTATCTCTACCTCAACCCAAGTGCTATATTTACAAAGTATTTATCAAAAATACAGCAACAAGAATACCATAGTCTCTTTAGCAACATTTAGGGTCATTATGAGGTTCAATTGTTTCATTTTCAACTTTATATAATTATTAAACTATTGAATTCTGCCAATACTCAAGCTGTTTAAAGAAGTACACACTGTAACATAATTTGCCATTTTTAAAAGAATAATTTATGATGATACCTTTCAAGTGAGGGCTGTGTACCTGCATTCTTTGCAGATGTAGATTTACTGGAACAAATTCTAATGTTTTCTCTCCTTTGCTGCTGCTTGATTTGAAAGAGGATCCTAGATGGAAATCAGAAATTAAACATTATTAGTAAATAATGATAAATTAATATGTGTGTTAAAAGATAAACCTGACAGAAAAATGTTACAAGAACATCAAAAAGAAAAACATATTCTATATTTATAACTTGCTTTTCCTCTCAGAAATTTAATATTTTAAAAAATTGTCTCAATTATTCACATGACAATACTGTAAGGTAAAATAGGGTAGTGTATTCTTTGTTTTAAGATGTTAAAGTTAGAAATAAAAGAGTTTAAAAAATTTTCCAGTTCTCCTATTTCCATAAAATGTGTTTTTTTTTTTATTACACATGCAGAAAATTCAATTCACTTTGAGTAAGTAGAATTATTGCTTCCACACCTGTTTCCTTGCTAAGTTCTGTCAGAATGTCTTGGTACATATTCACCATTTGATCACAGTGAGTAAGGACGTTTTTTCGCAGATTGTCCCAATGTGGAGAAAGCTCACCAAGTTCTTTTATCTCCTGGTTTCTGTTAAGAGTGAAAAAGAGGAGAAACTATTTTAATCTTAAATCCATAGACACACAACCTTTAATCAGAGTTGTTGCGATAATAAAAAATTATTTCATCATCATTCCCCGGAAAGTTCTGTGAGCTTATTAGCTTAAATATTTTTTAAAACTTTTTAGCACAAAAAATGAATAGTTTAGACTACACAAATAAAAACATGTCAAATGGCAAAAAATAAGAAATGTTAAATTCTCTGATAAAATTTTCACAAAGATGGAAGACTTTCTATTCTTACATACATAGTGAAGACATTTAGTTAAAAAGCAAATAGCTGGGCATGGTGGCAGGTGCCTGTAATCCCAGCTACTTGAGAAGCTGAGGCAGGAGAATCACTTGAACCCAGGAACTGAAGGTTGCAATGAGCCAAGATCGTACCACTGCACTCCAGCCTGGGCAACATGCAAGAGTCTGTCTCAAATAATAATAAAAAAAAGCAAATAGTAAAACCTCTACATAAAGATGGCTAAGTTTTTAAGTTTCAACTGTACAAAATCAAAGAATGTGGGAAGGTCTATCTGACCATGATGGAAGCAAACATGAGATACTTAGGTAATTCAGTTTATATATAATATAGTTACAAATATTTCTTTAAAACAAACAAAAACCCAGCCAGGCATAGTGGCTCACATCTATAATTCCAGCACTTTGGGAGGCCAAAATGGGAGGATCACCTGGGGTCAGGAGTTCGAGAGCAGTGTGGCCAACATGGTAAAACTCCCTCTCTACTAAAAACACAGAAGTTAGCAAGGCGTGGTGGCACACACCTGTAGTCCCAAATACTCGAGAGTCTGAGGCAGGAGAATCACTTGAATTCAGGAGGTGAAGGTTGCAGTGAATTGAGATAGTGCCACTGCAGCCACTGCACTCCAGCCTGGGTGACAGAATGAGACTCGTCTCCAAAATAAATCAAATCAAAAATAAATAAATAAATAAAAAGTATTGCCAGATGTTGTTTTTCTGGCTTCAGTTTCTGCCAAGAGGACAATATACAAAACTACTTTATGAGTATGTGTTGTTTCTTCTTTATTAAAAAGTAGAGCTAACTAACCATGTCATTTGGGCTTTAACTATTAACTTTTATCTAAATCTCTACCCTTTTGCTGATTAATTTAAATCATCAGAATGCCTTTTTAAAATAATAGTGATAAATTGTCCAATATGCTGCTTGGTTAGATCTCTTATTCATTTCTGTAACCTTTTACCAACAACATTTTCATGAGGCTAATTTAACCAGTAATAATGAAGCTTCTTTGCTATTTTGGCCATGAAACATGCTAAATACCAAGCTAATAAATTCACAGGATGTAGAATCTTTAACATTCTGTTAAATGCAGGAATAATGGATGGCCTACAAAAATGTGACTTGCTTTCAAATGGTTGTAACTGTCTTTGTTTTGTTCCAATGGGATTGCAATGTCAAATTGCTGCAATTTTCATCTGAAGTCTTTATAATTTTTATGAACATTCATCTCACTCTCAACTTTTCCAAAGATTAGTATTCATGATGCAACATTCATTGGAGAAAAAGTAATTAATGGATAGACAATAGAGTAAAAAATAATCCATGACGAAAGGGGAGACAAAGAGAAGATCGAAGATGGAGGGGGGAGTTGAGTTCTCTGTTTGCACTCAAATGGCAGGATGTTCAAGCTCAGGCAAAAGGCACAACCATTAAAGCAAACAAGTAATTCCAAAAGCTTGACATATCCCAGTCTAGGAGAATCTGAGCAATTAGGCTGAATCTGAGATAGATAGCAAGTATAATATATCAACTTACTATGTAAAGTTTCAGTTTTGCTTTCAATATACAGCTATAATGAAAACATTAGCTAATTATTCTTATTTAATACTAATAGATGCACCATAGGGTTACAATTTGTATTATCTCTAAATCATCATCGGAAAGAATAATTAAAGAGGGGATGACAGGGAAGGTAAAAGAGTGATAGTGAAGCCCCTGACTACATTCTGGGACACTGGGGGTGGCAACTTATCTTGCCTAAGTCTGGCAAAATGTTATCAGGAAAGTTTAGTATTATGTGAGGAGTGTCTTAATACAAGTTGTGAGGACTCCATAACTTTTGTTCAAAATTAAATGCACTCTTCCATTATGCCACAATTTCTATAGAGAAGCATACTGATGAACCTGTTTGTTCTAAGAGATGACAGTAAAAATGGTACACATTCAGAAAAGGACAAGCAACTAGCATACTGTCTCTCTGCATTGAGAAAAGTTCTAATGTAGGAGGAATTATATGATAAATGTGTAATAAACCAGACAGAGTAATGAAAACACTGCAAAACAAAATGGGGCCGAGTAAGAGAGTCACTGCATTTAAAAAAAAAAAATAAAGAAATTAATGAGCACATTCAATTTCATTAAAATAGAGAAGTATATTCATACATTAAAACAGATAAGGATAGAAGATAACTTGGTGCATGAAAATTGGTAAACTTTCCAATCTAGAAGGCTGGGGCTAGTTATTCATAATCACATTTTAATTTGTCACTCAGTGTTCAAAAACTTCCTAGATTAAAAACTTTGCTTGGTATATCAATCCAAATTCTCTAGGAAGTACAGTCTGAGATCAAGCAATGCTAGGTCAAACACAGTGAGGTTAAAAAAAAGAAGTGATACAGGAAAGAGAAGAAAGCAACCACAAGGTGGTACATGACTGAACTAGGCACAACTTCACAAGAAAACATGGCTGGTTATTTGGTCATGTGAAACAAATCTGAAGAAGTCATTTAGAACCTTTACACCTTGAAGCAGTTTGTTAACAGTCAGAGAGAGGGATATTTATATGTCAGTTGCTTGTCATACTCTATATTTCATTGATAAAAATTCATTGTACAGGTCATCAAGTCCTCTGCCTTTATCATTTTATAATATGCCCCTTTGGGTAGCCACTGGGGAAACAATACTCTAATGGAGATAGAATTTTCCTGGGTGTGTCCCCATGTGACAGTTGCCACAACTACTGTGAATCCTTCCAAGGTGGTTGCTACTGGGGACATGCTAATGCCTGGTCTTCACCTTGAGAAAGGCTGATATAGCTAATGGTGTTAAGAGTTAAGGTGACAGTTATCTGGGGCTCACCATTGAGCAAGTCATCAAAAACGTGAAGAGATGTTAGGATTGAGCCAATGTAGAAAAGAACACAAATGGCCCAGGACAGACAACTCCACGTACAACTCATATGTACTTGCACCATCTGCTGAAATCCCAATAGCATCAATTCAAAGTTCCTCATTTCTTTCTCGAGAGAAGAATTCAATCATAATCCTTTGGAGTAATGGCAAGCTGCAATTCCCCAGAAACTTAAAGGAGTGGTAGTAAATCCAGCCACAATATCCAATGCCCCAACTGGTCCTTAAGGCCTTAATTGATATTCATCGCCTATCTCCTTTACCACGAATCCCAGACTTTCCCTCATACTCTACCAGCATTTCAGCATTTCAGCTCTGAGTTGATGTTGAGTAGGGTGTTGCAGTCCTAAATCCTGATGAATCTTCTTACTCCTTTGGAGTCTTGGTTGCTGCAATTTCTCCTTCCCATCAGGGCATGGAGTATATGCAAGTTCCAGACATATTTTTTCTTGCTCAGATTTTGTGGCAATAGCCCTATCTCCTCATGGTGGTGAGTACGGTAATCTCATACCATCTGTGTTTGTCTATTATCATCAGGAACACGTAGTAACCAGATCACATGTAGAACCAATCACAGCTTCCACCAAAAGAACAGCACTGCTCCCCTGCCTCCGCCACAAGAACTAACTGGCCAAGAATAAAGCTTTAGGGAAAGGTAGTGCAAATACCATCAGTGGATCACTGCTATTGATTATAGGAAGGGTCTACCCTTAGTCCCAGAACTGTGAGCCCTGGGTATGATAAATATAGCATTCTATATCAGCAATTGGTTTGGTGTATATCCCCATCCTAGAGGGCAGTATCCCAATTCTAAGGCTTTTCCTCATGCTGGTATCTTGGCTGAGCTTTTCAGGATTAATATTATTCCACTGTTCCATCAGGCCTGTGGCTGTTAGATGATAAAACATACTGTGACCATATGCTCACTGTTGTATCTTCTTTGATACAGCAGCAAATGTCCCTTGATAGAAGCAACATCATGTGGGACATTGTATCACTGGATTAGGCATTCTTAGGCTCTCAGATGCTGGTGCCAGTGAAGACACTATGAAAGGAAAGGCAAACACACATCCAGACCATAATTCACCCACTTAGGACAAATTGCTGCATGCTCCAAGGTGGGGAGGTTCCAACTTAATTTGCTGGACCCACAGGTGTTGGGTCACTATGGGACCCTGGAGGAAACATATCATCTCAGTGGCTCATTGTCAGTCTGTTTCTGGCATTTAATAGTTAGAAGTGACAATAGCTATATTAGTTTTAGAAAGGGATACCATGTCCTGGGACCGTGCATCAGTCCCTGTCTCTGTCACCAAGGTCTAAATCCAGCCACAATAGATCATTATCTTTATGGGTCTATTGCACGAACTCTAGAGTAACTGAGAAAGGAGGCGGGCTCATATCCACTGTACAGATGACAATGTCCACCTGGTAGTAGAGAGCTTCCTCTGCAGTACTGACTGTCTGACAGGCATGATTTGGATTGTGCTCACTCCTGCAGGCCCATCCACATGCCTCTTGCTTATTTATAGTCCTTGTATCTGATTTTCCAGTCTTATTTCTTCCAGACCCACTAGGTTATTAACTCTGCCAAAGCTCAATATACATCTGCCCTTCAGGACACCTCCCTCTCTAAATGAAGGGAATAACAAGTAAACTGTTTGCTGATCTTCCCATTGGGCAAATGTCCTTCATGTTCACATTAAAGTCCACCCAACATGTCAGGCGGACACATTTTTATGCCAGTGCAAGTACTTTCCTCCTCCATGAGTTAGTCATAGGGAACTCCTGAGGGTTTTTGAGAAAGAACC